ACATGGATGAAAAATTTTGCTGGGAGATAGATATTGAAGAGAAATCAAACTAATATAATACAAATGAAGAATCCAATATGCTAAATAAAAAATACAGTGGCAAGCCTTAACAGATTTGGTGAGGCAGAAAAAAGGCTAGGCTATCTGAGCAAGAAGACAAATCTTTGGTAATATCAATATCTCAAAAAAAAATACAGGAAGGAGGAAGGCAGTTGGGAGCATGGGTGGGAGAGAGGTTAGGGTGGGGAGTATCATTATGCTCTTAAATCTCCATATATGAAATTTATTTACCTTACATAAACAAAAAATTTTTAAAAATGAATAACCAGTAAGTCTGTTGAAGTATGTTCAATTAACATCTGTGATACCTACTCCTTGAAATATTGTTTGCTCTTATCTGAAGTTCATATTTGACTATCTTATATTTTATCAAGAAATGCAACTTGGGATGAATATTCAGATAACCTGCTCTTATGAAGTGAGCAACACACAATAGTAACATTTTGAGAGTAGATTCACATAGGATACAATGATTTAACGATATGAGAAAGAGTAAATTAACGAAGCTATAGATGGAAAGTAAGTATGTACTTTCCAAAAGGTCTTTTTCCAAGTACACCATTAATTATTTTTCTGAGAGTAAACATTTCCAGAAGTTCTGGTTATCCATCACTCTTCTGGTTTGTACTGAATTCCATTTAAGAAGGTTCCCAAACCTATTGGATTATTCAGTAGTCTTGAAATTGCTGTTGTTTGATTCTGATTCATGTAATATGCAATTGATCTACAACAAATAAATTTCACAGTGACCTGTTTAAAAAGAGAGAAGAAAAGAAATTCATGGCTCCCAGCCTCAGGCAGGCCCAGGAGATTGGAAATCTGTCTTTTCTTTCTCTCTCTCTCTCACTCTAATAAATAAAATGAATCAGTAAAACATTTTTTAAAAAAAATGAATTACAGACTAAATGGTAAAATTGAAAACTATGAAACTTCTAAAAAATGCAGATACTATTTATGAATGGTATGTTAGGCCAATAATTCTCAGACAGTTCTTAAAAAACAAAAGAAGGAACAAAAGAACGAAAAAGTACCTACATTGGACAGTATCAAACTTAAAAACTTTTCCTCTTCAGAAAATACTGCTAAGGACATGAAAAGATAAGACACAGATTAGGAACAAAATAAGTGCAAAATGTATAGAGTGGAATAAAAAATCTTTCAATTCAAAAGCAAGAATACAAAAAAAAAAACAATTTTCAAAATAGACAAAAGATTTGAACAAATTTACTTCATCATAAAATAGATGCAAGTGATGAGTAAGTACATGAAAAGAAGCTCAGCATCATTAGTCATTAGGAAAAATATGCCAGCATCATACATGAGAAGCCACTGTAGAACTCCAGAATGGTTAAAATGTAAAAAATAAATAAATAAAAAATATAAAACCTAACAATAGCAAGTGTTGGCAAGGAGGAAGAGAAACTGAAATTTATGCACAGCTGTTGGGGATACAATACAGACAATCTGGGAAATAGTTTGGCAGATTTATCTAATTTATAAGTTTTTCTTCTCATCAAAAAACACTGCTAAGGAAATGAAAAGGCAAATCATAGACTGGGAAGCAACATCCTAAATAGTGTACTAGAACTAAACCATTTGGTTTTACCTCCATTTTAGCAAATAAAAAATTCTCTGTTAAAGCTATAATGTGGGGCTGGTGCTGTGGCATAACAGGTAAAGCTGCTGCTGGTGGTGCTGACATTCCATATGGGCACTGGTTCAAGTCCTGGATGCTCCATCTCCAGTTCAGCTCCCTGCTTATGTGCCTAGGAAAGCAGTAGAAAATGGCATAAGTGCTTGGACCCCTGCACCCACGTGGGAGACCTGGAAGAAGCTCCTGGCTCCTGGCTTCAACCTGGCCCAACACTAGTCATTGCAGCTCTTGGGGGAATGACCCAGTGGATGGAAGATCTGTCTTTCCCTCCTTCTCTCTATAACTCTGCCTTTCAAATTAAAAAAAAAAATTCCATTTAACAAAGCTAACTTATACATTGATTTACTTTTTCTTTTTCTTTTTTTTTTTAATTTATTTGACAGGTAGAGTTACAGACAGTGAGAGAGAGAGACAGAGAGAAAGGTCTTCCTTCCATTGGTTCACTCCCCAAATGGCTGCAACGGCCAGCACACTGTGCCGATCCAAAACCAGAAGCCAGGTGCTTCTTCCTGGTCTCCCATGCGGGTGCAGGGGCCCAAGCACTTAGGCCATCCTCCACTGCCCTCCCCGGCCACAGCAGAGACTGGACTGGAAGAGGAGCAACCAGGACTAGAACCCGGCTCCCATATGGGATGACAGCACTGCAGGTAGAGGATTAACCAAGTGAGCCATGCACCAACCCCTCTTTTTTTAAGATTTTATTTCTTTATTTGAGAGGCAGAGTTAGAGAGAGAGGGAGAGACAGAGAGAAAGGTCTTCCTTCCATTGGTTCACTCTCCAAATGGCCACAATGGCCAGTGCTGTGCCGATCCAAAGCCAGGAGCCAGGAGCTTCTTCCTGGTCTCCCATGTTGCTGCAGGGGCCCAAGCACTGGGCCATCTTCCACTGCTTTCCCAGGCCATAGCAGAGAGCTGGATTGGAAGAGGGGCAGACGGGACTAGAACCGGCGCCCATATGGGATGCCAATGCTGCAGGCGAAGGATTAACCTACTGTGCCACGGCCCCAGCCCCCACTTTTTCTTTATTTATATTTAGGTTTACAATTTTCTTGGATTTCAGACTGTTTCCCTATTGTAAATATAAAGTACTTGGGTTGCAAAGAGTATTATTGGTATGGACTGAATGTATTCTTATGTTGAAACCCTAATCTCCAAGTTACCTTTTAGCTTGCCCTTATATTCCCTAGATGACTGCCCAGATGTTAACTTGACTGACATCCTAGATGCTGGACCACCTTACATATTTATGCTCACAGACCACCATTGATTACTGCCCCCTGAAGTGACTTTCAGGTTACTCCCACTGATACGCTTGAGAGACCACTAACACTTGAGGTTCCTAACTTTTGATCTAACACCAGATTAGATTGAACTCTCCTCAACTCAGTGGACCAAGTTCTCCAAGTGCTGTCAGGTTATAGCATCAATAACTGACAGTAATCTTCAAAGACTAAAAACTGGCTTCTATATTTCAAAAATTCTTATCTAATATATTTTTAATGAAGGCCATAGAATTTTAATCCAATTTGATGAATAAAAATAGATCAAAGTCGATGTTAAAATGAAAGACAATAATGAGAAAAGAAGAAAGACAGAAATCAAGGGGCCCAGAGATGGGCAAGGGAAGTAATAAAAGTAACAATGAGGCAGAGAGAGGCAAGCGAGGAGAGAGACAGAAGAAGAGAGAAATACAGACCAGAAATGAAGAGAATACAGAGACATAAGCAATAGGTGTGGAGAAGCAAAATTCACACAGAGCAGACACCAGGGAAAGACACAGAGATCAAGATTCTTTGTATAGACAGGACAAGAAAGGAGTCAGCCCATTTTCCCTGATGTCCCATGCCAAGCTTATCCATCCTTCCCTGCTCCCCTCCCCCCCAAAAAAATAAATAAATCAAGCTTGACCCAAACTCTAAATCTAAATCATATCTACCTTGCTGCAGTGGAAATGAGTGATGAGGGGACTTCAACTTAAATGGCACATGGAGGAAGGATGGAAGCTGTTAGCACCAAAAGAAACAAGGCTAGTGCCTCTCTAGCATCCTCTGCTTTTCTAAATCTGTTCTTAAGCTACTTCAAAGATTTGCCATGCTGCACAGAATTTGAACCTCTTAAGGCACAGAGGTAGGAGTCAGACAGCTCCAGGCCAATTTTCCTCCCCACTAGCACCAAAAGACAGTCTCTGAAAAGCATGAGGATTCTTCTTCCTGATCCTTATTCAGAATGCTCTCCACCCTCTCTGACAAAAATACCTTCATTCTTCAAGTCCTAACCTCAAATTACTCAGAGACAGTCTTGTATACGTCTGGGCTTCATGCATGTACCATGGCGCCTGGTTCACAAAAAGTCATCAGTCTGATAAGTGAATAAATGCACACTAGGTCTAGACATATAAGTATGCCCACATATGCATATATTACACATGCTTACTGTTTATACACACATGAACTTTTATAAGGAAGTTGTTCACAGTATAACAAAAATACTAACAAACAAAAGTTCTTCCCATAACTTCTCCATCAACCTATTCTCCCTCAAATGTTCTGACATCCGTGTTCACTGATATCATCATCCAAACCATGCATTCCAGCTAAGGACTCTCATCTAACACGTAAGGCCTGTAGACCTTATGTTCTAATTGCTTCCTACTTTACCTACCAAGCCATCTATCTGCATGCCAAAAGAAGTACCAAACCCACTTGAATGGGTCTCCTATATTTTTCATTCCCCACATTGTTGCCATTAACCTTTCCAATCAAGTCATATTCTTCATCAGACATCCTCAATAGAATTCCAAAAGGAAATATCTTCCCATTTAACAGAAAATATCCTATTTTGGTATTGGAAAATTTCCCAAGTATATCCAACCCATTCCCCAAAATCATTTCTTGCCCTTCTCTCTTCCCATCTCTAACCATATAAACTTTCTCATCATTCTCTAAATGCTTTGGGTTTCCCTTTGAACAAGCCTCTGCCCATGAACATTCACATTTCCTTTCCCTCCTCTTTTTCCACATTTAGGACTTAGACAATTCAGCTGAAAGCACTACATCCCTCAATATAACCACCAACCCCAGGGAGAGTCAATCATTCCTGCCTATGTATTTCCAATGCTCTTCAATCATGTATTTGTTATAACTTGTATCATAATCGAGGTGATAACTTAATTATCTTTGTTTGCCATTACATTGTGACTTGTGCAAGTACAGGCTCTCATAGGGCTTGATACAGAACTTAACTCACAGTAGAAGCTCAATAAACATGCAAAGAATAAATAAACATACCTTTCTGTGCTTTAATTAGTTGCTTTCCAATTTCTAGCGTCACATAGGCCGTGCCATTTAGAACTATGTCACTTATCGTCTTCCAAGCATTAGGAGACAGTCTTTCAGAGGGGGAAATAAAATTTCCTGCTGCATTGTTTATCACGATCTAACAAGTGAATAACAAAGGTTATAGAAACTGGCATGAGGAAGAATGTTCTCCCTCTAGGACTTTTATTTCTGAAACTATTAATACAAAACAATACAATAAAATTTCATTCAGCTTTGTTATCTGAATCTGTGACAGTCTCTTGTTATTTACCAAATTTCAAAATCCTGACCCCTGTCTTTAAGTTAGAATAGACTCTATTATTAAGAAAACAAATACAGATTGATCACATTTACCATGTGAATATATTTTAAGGAATCTCAAGAAATGCATTTTAACATCCAGTGTTATTTTAGTTTCACTGATCCAATAAAACTCTTGCTTAGTGACCTTCACTATCAAAAAATATTCTGAGTAGCTCCATGGCAGATTCAATATTACTGGTCAATCTCAAAATATCTTTAACATTAAAAAGTGCTTTCTTTGAAGCTAATGGAAGAAATGACTTCTCTCCAAAGAATGAACCAAACAACAGCAAAATATCCATGCATATCTCAGGTATTATAAAGAGAAATTCAGAATTTCTTATATTTTACTTGTTTGTATTATAAGAGAGAGAATCAAAATTATTAGGAAAATCAGAGCATACATCATTTAAATTAGATATTGTGCTCTTGGATAACTGCTCTTGTTATTTCACAATCTTATTAAATAAAGTGAAATCCAGTTTGTTCTATAATTATAAATGCACCCTTTAAATATTCCTAAAAGGAAGTAGTGCAGTCCACCTAAACTGCTGCCTGCTTTAAATGGAGTTGGCATTTTCCCAGAGACAGAAAACAGGTGTTTCTCAGCACAACACTCGCTCACATCAATATTTTACATCCTTTGTGCATCTTGATGGGTGTTATCCACATCAAACACCTCACACTTTGGCCTCATCACAATTGTACTTACATTGGGATGCCCTGCTACTTTGATCAGTTCTGACACTGCGTTCTGAACCATGTTAGGATCCCTCACATCACACTGAACGGCATGAACCTGAAAATAAAGCAGAAAAAGCATCCTATATTTTTCAGACTTCCTAAGGCAGAAATATGTGTGAAATATTTAAATATAATAATTGTTAAATCCACATTAAATGACTGATTTTTAATGTACCTTATTTCCAGTCTGAGAAGAAATTTGTTCTGCAGTAGCTTTCAAAACATCAACATTCCTGGAAATAAGTACAAGGTATTTTACATGAGTTCTAAAATGACTTCATATTTTATTTTCTTTTTAGTTCCCTAAATTAAAGAACTCAGAGAATCTACAGCTTAAAGAAAAGAATTTATGAGAAAGCATAAAAGTTGAATCAATACACAAATTGGGGGCTGGTGCTGTGGCTTACTAGGCCAAGCCTCCACCTGTGTGTGGTATGGGCATCTCATATGGGCTCCAATTTGTGTCCACACTGCTTCTCTTCGATCCAGCTCTTTGCTAATGGCATGGGAAAACAGTGGAAGGTCCAAGTACTTGGGCCCCCGCATCTGTGTGGGTGGCCTAGATGAAGGTTCTGGTTTCAGATCAGCCCAGCTCTGGCCTTGTGGCCATTTGGGGAGTGAACCAGCGGATGGAAGAGATTTTTCTCTGTCTCTCTCTCTCTCTCTGTAATTCTACCTCTGAAATAAATAAAATCTTTAAAAAAATATACAAATCAGTTTTTTGTTTTTTTTTTTTTTTTTGACAGGCAGAGTGGACAGTGAGAGAGAGAGACAGAGAGAAAGGTCTTCCTTTGCCGTTGGTTCACCCTCTAATGGCCGCCGCGGCCTGCGCGCTGCGGCCGGCACACCACGCTGATCCGATGGCAGGAGCCAGGAGCCAGGTGCTTTTCCTGGTCTCCCATGGGGTGCAGGGCCCAAGCACCTGGGCCATCCTCCACTGCACTCCCTGGCCACAGCAGAGAGCTGGCCTGGAAGAGGGGAAACCGGGACAGAATCCGGCGCCCCGACCGGGACTAGAACCTGGTGTGCCGGTGCCGCAAGGCGGAGGATTAGCCTAGTGAGCCGCGGCACCGGCCAACAAATCAGTTTTAATAAATTCAATGTCTAAAAATTAAATTCAAATAATTTTATACATCTGATACTAATTATTTCATTAGTCACTTGTAAACCAGTTATTATAGCATTATCTACTCATAGCTTTAAATTATTTCCTTGATTATAATCATTGTATCTGCTCTTTTGCCCAAGCCAGCTTTACAAAGAAAACACATTCATGGTATAATGTCAGCAGGTCTTAGATCAAATTTAAAGTTTCAAATAATCTATACACATTCAGAGTCATATCCTTGAGAGAAACACAAAAATAAATCATGAATTTATATAGTAGGAAAATGAAAATACTGCAAAACTCTTGGAAACATTACAATATAAAAACACAAAAGTTCTGGCCAATTTACATTTGTGAATGACATAGTGACTATTGTTCAGATGACTATTTGGCCCACATAAATTTTACACCATTCAAAATCAGAGAAAAGGATGGATTTTCCTGACATCTTGAAAGCTCCAGACTTACACAGTCATAGAGTGTCAGATATGCCTAAATAAGAACTTCCTTCTACATGGTAACACCCTTTCTATATTCACCACAATAGATGTTCTGAAAAATCTGTCCAACTTACAGAAAATAGGAGTACATCAAATATCCTAGTACAAAGTTAGTTATCAATTGATGCAGTAAAAGAATCACTTCTACTGAAAACAAAGCAGTCTCAATGTAGTATGTTTAAACCTCATCTTCATGAGCAGAAAAAACAATAAGCTATCACTCAATTTGGGAAATGTTAACATCATCAGCTCCATAATGTCACTACTTCTATCAACTCCATTTATAACTAACTTTTTCCAGGGAGGTCTGTTTAAACAATCTAAAGAATACAAGCATTTCATATAGGATTAAGATGTAAATCAACGCCTCTGGCACCTGTTTTCAATGGTACAGCACAGTTTCTTCTGTAGACTTTCAGCAAGTGGCTCAAGAGACTGACTTACCTGCTGGCTATCACACACTGAGCACCCAGGCTGGACAGGAAGGTCGTCATTGCTTTCCCAAGGCCAGTACCTCCCCCGGTAATGAATGCAACTTTTCCTTGAAAACTATTGGGTGGTAGCATCACTTTTTGAACTGGTGGAAAGAATTTAGCCTGGGAAGCTTCAATGTTTTGATATAATATCTTTGTCCCATAACTGAAAAACTAAAAAAAATAAAAAAAAAAGAATTGACATTTGCTCACAGGTACTTCCATAATAGAGATGAATTTTTTTAAACTTATTCTTTAAAATTAATCAAAGTTTTGGATTAATACAAACTGCAAACATATAAAATTATATTTAATCATTTATGCTTTGTCTTTCTGAATGTTATGTTACATAATGAAATGGTTTTCAAAAATGGGCTTCAGAATTCCATGGTATGAGATAGAATTTTCTTTCTAGTAATAAATACTTCAAGTTATTTAAGCTCTCTGTGTCTCCATTGCTTCATCTAGAAAGAGATAAAGGAACAATAAAAGAACCCTCTTCACAGGATACTGTGAAGATTATACGAGTTATCATAAGTAAAGCACTCAGAGCAATGCAGGGCACACAGTAAGCACCCTAAAAATGTGAGCTTTACTCTTTGCAGATGTTTTGCTTAAATTTAACTTAATTTTTGTTAATTTATGTGAAAGGCAGAGAGACAGACTGAGAGACAGATAACACACACACATACACACACACACAAACACACACAGATTTTCCATCTGCTGGTTCAAGCCAGGAACTCAATTGAGGTCTCTCATGTGAGTGACAGGAACTCCAGTGCTAGAGCATCACATGCTGCCTCCACATGTACGCATCAGCAGGAAGCTGGAATTGGAAGCGGAGCCAGGGTTCAAACCCAGGAACTCTGATGTGGGATACAGGCACCCAACACAGCATCTTTATCACTGTGCCAAATGCCCAGCCCTAACTTTAACTTTAAAAATTCACATAAAGCATCTTTGTCTTTTAACAGCAATAATTTAAATAAAATCACAATTCATCTTTGAATCACTTAAGAAAATTATTTTAAAATTCTTTTTAAAGCTTACTAAATCAAAGACCTCTTCTTATATTTTCTCCTGGCCAATGAACTTAGAATAGGTAAAATATTTAAAATAAGGGAGTGTGGGCATTGTAGTGCAGGGGGCTAAACTGCCTGGTGGGATACCCACTCCACATCCCTTACTGGATACCTGGGGTCAAGTCCTGCTTCCACTTCTGATCCAGCTTCCTGCTAATATGCACCCTGGAAGTAGCAGGTGATGACTCAAGTATTGTTGTTATGTCCCTATCACCCATGTGGAAGACCCTGGTTGATTCTGGGCTCCTGGTTCAGCCTGGCTCAGCTCTGGTTGTTGTGGCATTTGGAGAGTGAATCAGCTGACTGAAGTTCTCTCTCTTTGTCATTCTGTACTTCAAATAAATAAATAAACTTAAAAAAGGGAAAATCATCCCATTCTAAACTAAAAATATTGATATTGCCCTATTTTATATTTTATAGCATATGCCCGCAATACTTGTAAACACCACTACCAGAGCTGGTGCAGTGTCATAGTGGGCTAAGCCTCTACCTGTGGTGCTGGCATCCACTATGGGCACCGGTTCTAGTCCCAGCTATTCCTCTTCCTATTCAGCTCTCTGCTATGGCCTGGGAAAGCAGTAGAAGATGGCCTAAATGCTTGGGCCCCTACACCCACATGGGAGACCCAGAAGAAGCTCCTGGCTCTGGATTGGCCCAGCTCCAGCCATTGTGGCCATTTGGCGAGTGAACCAGCAGATGAAGGTCTCTCTGTCTCTTCCTCACTCTGTCTGTAACTCTCTCTCTCAAAGTCTTAAAAAAAAAAAAAAAAAAAACAAACTACTATTATCACATTTAACTATAAAAACAAACTTTAAGAGTTTAACATAATTAACAAATAGTTAACTTTCATAAAGTGGTGATCATGTACCAGAATTAGATAAACATTTAATCTTCGCAACCTAGTGAAGTCTTCAAAATGAACTATCTAGTGTTCACAATCCAGCCTTCACACTGAAATAGATACTATGTTTATCCCCATCAAACAGGAAAGGCTCACAGGACTTCAAAACATTGTGAAGGTCAAGGAGGGCATTTAGCATCTAATTAAGATGTCAGTTGGACCACCCACAGCCATGTTCTAGTGCTCCACTCCAGCTTCATGCTAATATGTACCCTGGGAGACAGCAAGTGATAGCTCAAACGGATGGGTCCCTGTCACCCATGTGTAAGACCCAGACTGTGTTCCCAGCTCCCAACTTCACCCTACCCCCTGCCCCCAGGACAATGGGCATTTGGGGGGTGAACCAACAGATCAAAGTGCACTTGCTCTGTGTCTCTGTCTCTCTGACTCTTAATAAGGTTTCTTCTTAATTATTATTTGTTAAATATTGTCAAAGTTACAGAATCAAGATTGGAAAGTATGCTAACAGGCTCTGAAGCCCTCTCCAATAACCACCTTGCATACTTCTCTCTATCTTCTTAACTCCGCTAAGTTTAGCAGTCACACCATGGAGTTTTGGGATAGTTCCCCACCAGAAACTGGTTCCAAGATTAAAACTCCAGACTCTTATCATTTGCTCCTAAAGTATTCCTGAAAACTGAATAAGCTGCCATCAGTTGGTCTTGGGTATCTAGAAATTTATCTTATGGAAATAATTAGAGATGTGGTCAATGATTTAGGAAAAGGCTGTTTATCATCTGGAAGTTGTACAAGAAGTGCATATGATATGATGTAAAGTGGAAAAAGAAACAAATAACCATAAATAAAAACAAATGCTTAGGAAAAAGCAAGGAAATAACATAGAAGATTCAATATGTTCCACTTGCCACAGCATCCTAAAGTCTTTCCTCACAGCAGTTCCTTGGGTAAATTTTAGTTTTACTCCTATTTTATGGACAGAAAATTGAAATTGAAGCACAGAAAGACCAAGCAATTCACTTTTAAAGACAACTCATAACAATTTGCAAATTTCCACACCAGTCATATTTCTTTCCACTTCCTGTTGACCATTTTCTTTTTTATCTTTTTGCCAAAGCATGATAATACAGCAACCTACAATAACCTTTCTCTACATAAATGGCAATTTGACTTGAGGCTGCAACCTGCCTTCAGAACTATTACATGAAGATGATGAATCAGGAAGTGTGCACAAGTAGGCTGGTAAAATTGTCACTACCTAATAACAATGAAAAAAGGATTCCAATTTTCCAAAGGCACTGTCATAAATTTTTACTTATTGCTGACTTGTGTACAGAATCTGATGTGGTACTTTATGAAGGATAATTGAACAAGATATTTACATACAGAACTTCCTTTTTAGTTTATTTTACAACATTTTCCTCAACATCCTAGCTGACAGAGGAAAAAATATAAAGGTAAAACTAGCACATTTGATTTCATGGGTTGAAAATCACCCCAGCTTTGGCCATGGCTATGGGTGAGATTCTGAGCCTAGAGCCACCAGGGGTCTCAGCTCACCTTCCACTGCTTCGATGTGGGGAGGTGAAACCCAGGCCTTGACAGGGGGAAAAAAAGTAGCATATTTGATAATAATTGCTAATAAGTTTCTACAATATAGTGGTACTAGATGTAGCATGGTCTTACTTATTTGAACTAATCAACACTGATTTTAAGACTCAACTTCCCCACCAAACCAGAAGAAACTACATGCTCTTTTAATTCACATTACCCTCTGACAATTCAGCACATATATGTAAATATAAATTCAAGTCATTACTTTGCCTCAAAATAAGTTGTTCATTTCAACAATAAGATGCACAGAGCTGGGGTCTGCTTTGTGGCATAGTAAGTAGTCTAAGCCTCCGCCAGAGGTGCTGGCATCCCATATTGGCGCCGGTTTAGTCCGGGCTGCTCCTCTTCCAATACAGCTCTCTGCACATGGCCTGGGAAAGCAGTAGAAGATGGCCCTGGTGCTTGGACCCCTACACCCACATGGGAGACCCAGAAGAAGCTCCTGGCTCCTGGCTTTGGATCAGCCTAGTTCTGGCTGTGGTGGCCATTTGGGGAGTGAACCAGCAGATGGAAAACCTTTCTCTCTGTCTCTCCCTCTCTCTGTAACTCTGCTTTTCAAATAAGATATATTTTTTAAAATGCACAGAGCTAACCAGACCTCACTGGATTATACTGTATTCAATGTCCTATTTCTAAATAAATAAATAAATAAATAGGCATCCTGAAATAACATTTTGGCTGTTACTTTTTGACATAAAAAGTGGATACAAAATAAGCTTTTTTTTGCCAAATCTTGTTTTACAGTTTTCCTGGAAACAAGTCTAGAAATAAGTTGTTTTTGAAAATGGAAGTAACACCTTTCAAATAACAGAACTGATTTCTCTACAGATCTTCAGCGCCCTAAAATTCTTAAAACTCTCTAAAGTCTTCCAATTTTGGCAATACAGATGTACTTTTTAGGGTTACAAGTTCTAAATCTACCCATACAAAAGTCAGCTGTCACCCACCTCTGCCTCCACACCCACAGCTCATAAACAGTATCTTCCTCCTTTCTGCACTGCTACATTATAGCAACCAAACTAAAGGGAAGGGATCATACTTGTAGATCTCAAATGGCAATTCAGAAAAGGTATTGAATTTGTCCCTTCCCTAGAGGACAACAATTTTGTTCTAGTAGAATTATACCTAAATTACTTATGTGTTTTGGGCATTCTAAAATGTTTAGAATAAATATCTAATATGGGGGATAGTTTGTGTCCTACATCAACTGTGCTTTGTTATACCTGCCTAATGTTTTTAAAATTTGAAGCAACACTTAGACATCAGGAAAATCCTCATAAAAATCAGAAGTTCAGGGTTAGCATTCGATGCAGCAGTTAAGATGCCCCTTGGGACACCTGCATCCTATAAGAGCACCTGGTTTTAGTCCCAGCTCCACTTCCAATCCAGCTTCCTGTTGATGAACACCCTGGAAGATGGCAGATGATGGCTCAAGTACTTGGGTCCTAGCCACTTTATCGAGGAGACCATGATTGCATTCCAGACTCCTGGCTTCAGCCTGGACCAGCCATAGCTATTGTAGGCATTTGGAGTGTAAACCAGCATATGAAAGATCTCTTTTCATCTCTCTCTCTCTCTCTCTCTCTCTCTCTCTCTGCCTTTCAAATAAAATGAAAATACAAAAATAAAATCTCATCTCTCAAAAATGTTGATGCCTTTCAGAGTCAAAAAGACAAAAACCAGTATCTTGACCCTGGCTTTCAAGTCACTGTAAATATGTCATCCTAACTCTATTTCCCACCAGTTCCACCAGAGAGGTAAACTCTGCACATATAAACCTTTTGACTTTCGCTAAACTTGCCAAGCTCTTCCCTCTTCTGGCCTTCACTTCTGCCTTCTCCTTAGCCTGAACCACTCATTCTTCCTCAACTTTCAAGAATCAGAAAAATCAGGCAAATGTGTCAATACTTTGAAACTTTTTAAACATGTTTAATACAATCAATGAACACATCCCTTCACCAAGGCTTCTGAGCCAGGCTGTGAGCACTCAGGAAGCCTGGAACAGTTTCTCGTTCATCACTGCAATCATGTTTCTGGCAGCAATTAAGTATTCAGTAAATGTTGGGCTTACTGAATTTCATATTGGTTGGCCAAACTCCAATTACACTGAAAAAGTACATGGATGCAGATGTACAGTCTTATTTGAATATATGGTACAAATACAGCTCTTTACCATTTGTTCTAAAAAATTAAAATAGGGGACTGGGTTGTGTTGCAGTGGGTTAAGCTAGCACTTGTGACACAGGCATCCCATATGGGAGTACTGGTTCCAGGCCTGGCTACTCCACTTCCAATATAGCTTCCTGCTAATGAACCTGCAAAAGCAGTGGAAGATAGTCAAGTAGCTAGGCCCCTGCCACCCACATGGGAGACCTGGATGGAATTCGTGGGTCTGGCTACAGCTTGGCCCAGGCCCCACATTTGTGGCCTTTTGGGAAGTAAACCAGCAGATGGAAGATCTCTGTCTATCTCTCTCTGTGTGCCTCTCTATCTGTCACTCTGCCTTCCAAATGAACAGAGCTTCCTGGCAACACCCAGCACATGCTTCAGGGTATTCACTGAAAGAGCAGAAACTCCGCTAATCCACAGAGGCATAGTCAAAGATAAAAGCCATCACAGGGGGAAAAAAAAAAATAAATAAACCAACAAGTATCTCCACAAATGCCTAAAAATAAATGCAGCAATTCAAAAAATAATAAGGAAGGCAACATGACGTCCCCAAAGGAACACGACAACATTTCATACTAGAATTTGAAAATGAAGAGATTAAAGAAATGCCAGAAACAGAATTTTAAAAATTGATCATGGGATTACGTAGAAGCAAATCCATAAACTGAAGAAATCCATATATGACATCAAAGAAAACTTTTCTCATGAAATTGAGATTTTTAAAGAGAAATCAAAATTAAATATTGGAAAGGAAGAATTCAATAGAACAAATAAAAAATGTGGTAGAAATCCTTAACAACAGACTCACTGAGGCAGAAGAAAGAATATCTGAATTAGAAGACAAGTCTCAGGAAGTTTTACAGTCAGACCAGAAAAAAAGAAATTAGAAAACTAAAAACAGTGTTGGATATTTATGGGATACTATTAAACAACCCAACATAGGGGTCTTAGGAGTTCTGGAAGGTATGAAAACAGAGAACAGATTAGAAGGCCTTTTTAGTGAAATAATTACAGAAAACTTTCTTAATTTGGAGAAAGAAAGGGACGTCCAAGTACATGAAGCACATAGAACTCCTAATAGACAGGACCAGAAAAAGATAGGTACCATGACAAATTGTAGTCAAACTCTCCATATTAAAACATAAAGAAAAGATTCTAAAATGTGTCAGATTACTTTCAGAGGACCTCCAACTACACTCAGAGCAGATTTCTCAGAAACCCTACAGGCTAGGAGAGAATGCTGAGAGTATTCCAAGTCTTAAGAGAAATAACTGTCAACCCAGAATACTGTACCCTGCAAAGCTCTCATTTATGAATGAAGGTGAAACAAAGACCTCCCATAACAAATGGAAATTTTTAAGAATTTTTCAACACTTGTCCAGCCTGACAAAAGATGCTTAAGGATGTGCTGCTGTACGCAGGAAGACAGAAATATGGTCATCATGATGAAAGAAGGTAAAGGCAGAAAATCTCTCAGTAAAAATATAAAGGAAATCCAAAGTAAACAAAAGGAATCTATATGGATAAACTGCAAGGCCAAGTCGTTCCTTATCAATAATCAGCTTGAATGATATTAGCCTCAACTCTCCAGTTACAAACTTGGCTGAATGGATTAAAAAACAAAACCCAGTTATTTGCTGTCTATAAGAAATGCAGCTCACCAACAAAGATGCATGCAGACTGAAAGTGAAAAGATGGAAAGATATTCCAGGCTAACAGAAGCCAAAAAGGAGCCAGAGTAGCCATCCTAATATCAGACAAAATAGACTATAACACAAAAACTCTTAAAAGAGACAAGGAAGGGTACTATGTAATGATTAAGGGATCAATTCAACAGGAAAATGTGACTATAATAAATGTTTATGCACCTAATTACAGGGCACCTGACTATTTAAAAGAAATACTAACAGATCTAAAGAGAGACATAGACCCCCATACAATAGTAATGGGGGACTTCAATACCTTACTTTCAGCAATGGACAGATCAGCCACACAGAAAATCAGCAAGGGAACAACAGTAAATTGACACTGTAGTCCAAATAAACCTAATGGATATCTACCGAACTTTTCATCCTACAGCTCAGTTGCAGAACACACATTCTTCTCACCAGTGCCTAGAACTTTCTCTAGGATAGACCATATGCTAGGCCATAAGGCAAGTCTCAGCAAATTAAAAAAAATCGAAATCATACCATACATCTTTTCTGACCACAATGGAGTGAAGCTAAAAATCAACAACTCAAGAATCTTTAGAACATATGCAAACACATGGAGACTGAACAACATGCTCCTGAATGAACAGTGGGTTACAAAAGAAATCAAAAGAGAAATCAAAAAACTGTTGAGGAACAGTTTTTTGTTTTCATACTACTTGTTGAACTCTTTATATATAATCTTCTGTGTATAAAGTTAATTGAAAATAGATTTTAGTAAAAAAATAAGAATGGGAATAGGAGAGGGAGGAGGCAGAACGGTGGGAGTAGGGGTGGGAGGGCAGGTACACTGGGAAGAATCACTATCCCTATGTTAAGTTGTATTTATGAAATGCATGAAGTTTGTATACCTTAAATAGAAGGTTTCTGGGGATAAAAATCCCAAACAGCTTTTTGCAAAATTTGACAGGCTTATCCTAAAATTGATATGGAAATGCAAGTGCCTCCAAACAGCCAAATATAATCAGTAAAGCTTTATCTATAACAGAAGAGACTAGAAAACAATCTATGTACATTTCCATAGGGGTCATAGCCAATGGGCACATGCATATAACAATATACTGTTAAATAAATCAATTATCTGCTAAAAGAAGAAACTAGCATTTACATGCTCTTGCTGCTGGAGCTGAATGTTAACACTGCTAGTGAAACATTGTTTATTCAATCACTCAACAAATATTTGCTGAATGTCAACAATGTGAAACATCATGTGTTAAGCAAAACCTCAGGTAAAGAAATACATATGATATGCTTCCATTCATGTGTATTTTTTCTAACTGAGGATATCTTCATGCATAAACTGAAATATGCATGGGAAGGACCCACAGGAAACTATTCATAGTAGCAACCTCTTGGAAGAGGGACTTACTACATTATCACTGCACATGCTTTCATACAGCTTGAATGTTCAACATGTGCATAAATTAGTATTTCATTAAAGACACTTAATAAATAATTAAATCACATATTGATGTATTTAGTGCAGGAAAGATGTAGAGCAAAACAACCTTACAGCAAGGAGAAAATGGCATAGAACTGATTTCATGATAAAGGCTTATATCTTACTTAAAGTGTAAATATTCTGTATCTGACATTTACATGAGAGCATACTGATAAATATCATTTCCCTATATTTTGGAGTTTGTTAGTATCCACCACTTTATGTCAAATTAATATTTTTGATCAAATTTACTCCAACTTAAATTCACATAAGAACTTTGCATAATGAGCTTTAACTGGAAAATAAAAATATTAACTTGTCAAACATAGGACATCATATTTTTTGAAAACTAAGTATGAAAAATTACATACTTTAATTCCAAAAGCACATCACGTATTCCTAACCATAATGACCCTTCCATAACTGCTCCCTAACTTATTTTGTCCAGTTACTAGAAGGTACATGTCTGTGCCATGCATGTATTCTTTTCCATGTCCAGACCATGGCTATTTCAGTGTGGTGTATGTGGTTTTTAGCTGGAGGCATCTGGTGGATGCTCTATTGGGTGTCCCAGTGCAGATAAGTACAGTTTTGTACAATGAAGGATTGTGTCATCCCAAATACCAACAGTGACACTGCAAATTTTAAAAATACTCAAGTGCTCAAATTCTACTCCACACATGGCTTGCCATAGGCCGTTAAGTTCACACTCGATGCTTCTGTGTATTGCTTGAGCATATCTAGCTGCTCCTGAACTTAAAGCAGGACACTGCATGGAGGCCATGGATATTCTGAGCTTTCGCAGAGCACAGATCTCGTTGCCACAGCAACTTGAAGGTAAGGCTGAGCAAATATAAAAGAAAAGTGCCTAGCCGGACTCTAAGCTCCAATAGCTAAGCTGAATTATACAATCGCCAGTAGCAAAACAGAAATTATACTTTTGAGCAACAATACATCTTATATCAGTGAATATGAGCCCTTGAAAAAGTAGCTGCTCTGTGCTACAGAGTGTAGTTCTCATTTTTATTACAGCTCTTATCCGCAGGTTAAAAGCCAGATATTTCCCCAATACTATACAATGAAGGGAGACAACATCAGACACAAATTAGGAGGCAGCTTGAAATTTTCAACTGCGATCTTCAATCTGCCCACCTCCCACTTAAGCCACATCTATTTTAATCCTCTGCTTTATTAGGCAAGACTAATGGGACTAACTTTCGTGAACAAAAAAATCAGACCCTCTGCTCTTGCAAAGGGCTTTGATTCAAGGTTTTGCTTACATGAAAAAGTATTAGAGATAAACATGACATCATGACTGGGTACAGAGTGTAGTCATTTATTCATTTTCAGCAAGTTTTCATTGATCATTACTCTGCCCCCAAGCAGGCATCACTCTAGACAACAGTAAGGCAGCAGCAAACAGAATAGATGTCATTTTCTACCTTCCATGAGACTAACTTAAGGAGCACAAGGCATAAACAAAAGGAGTGAAATATACGGTACAAAATGATATGTAGGATCGGGGGAAATAGGGCATAGCAGAGAGGCAGAAGTTGCTAATTTGAATAAGGTGGCCAGCAACGACCTCAGTGAGATGGTGACATGTAAGCAAAGACCTGAAAGAGGAGAAGGATGAGTCACACGGTCTTAGGCCCAGGGAAGAGTAGAGCAAAGGCTCTAGAGGAACATGCCAAGTAGGTGGGGTAATTGGGCAGGAGGGCAGTGTGGCCAGTGTAGGAGGGAGAGAGGCAGGAGAGGTCAGTGAGGTAGAGGGGACTGGCTCATATGAGCCGAGTGAGCCAATTTGCAGTTACGCATTTATTCTGAGTGGGAAACACTGCCCAAGTGTAGAGTAGAAGACTGACATAATCTGCCCACGTGTTTACAGGACTGTTCCAGCTGCGACATTGCAAAGCAGTGGCAAGGTTGAAAGCTGGGAGACCAGTTCTGACACTAGGACAGCAGACTACTCACAAGATGATGATGGCTTAGGCCAGCAAGCTAATAACATCAGAAGTGATAGGAAGTTAGCAAATCCAACTGCTTGCAAGTGCCAGGCCCCCAAAAGACAGAAACTCATGTATCACTCCTCTGTCTCACAACGCTTGGTCTGATCCCATCTTGCATCAGGCCCAGCCTCTTCACACTTTGACCTATTTCACCAAAAGCAGATAAACAGATCTCCTTTTACTGAGATCATGGTCGTTCAGCTGAAAGTGTTTCACCTCTGTCACCTTCACCTCACTTCCACTGTTACTATAGCACTGCCTTGGTATTTCAGAAAAAGTTAGATTAACTGTCAGCTCCAAAGAGGAAATGGAGACTTGTATGACAGCAGACAGTCCTCTGAGAGATAGTGAGGGCAAGAGCAATAAAAGGAGGGGACATTTAATATATTGACCAGCACCAGCTAGAAGTAATAAGTCGAGAGGAGCTGAAGATGACTGAGCTTTCTAGTTCACATGGCTGAGTGCAGTGATGCTCTAACAGAAATGACTGGGTAGACATGAAAAGACCCCAAGTAGAGGATTGATGCTAGCAGGTTCTGCGCTAGAATTCCTGCTTCTGGGATATCTGTGGAATATTCAGGTGAAGATATCTAAGCTGCAGTAGGGAATACAGTTTTGAAGCAGGATCCTCCAACAGCACCCGGGAGCTCTGGAAGTTCCGATTCTTCAGCTCCACACAGCACATCAAGTCTTCACCATCTGCTTCTTGTCCATCTCTCCTACCTCATTTCCCTTGAAACTCAAACTCAGAAAAACAAGGTACTCGGGATTTCCCGAACACAAAGGGTTTCCTCCAACCTTACGCTTAAGCAAATTGCTCCCCACCATCACCCAACCCCAGCTCTAAGCACTCTGCCACCTTCCCCAACACTCAGGGAGAATGAACATTCTCTCCTCCACCTCTCTACCTGAATTATCTGGAAACCAGTGTAGGAGTCTCAGAGTCCACTAACACTCCAGGACTGACTTCACTCTCTCCACTCCTTCCTCCAGCTCCCTCTTCCATGTCCTCTCTCTCTCAGACACATTGTCCTCAAGCCAGAGGCAAACAACAAACAAAAACACATGGGTTCTGGGCCTCAGCATTGAACACTCAAACCATCAACTCCAGTTCCTATCACTCCTCAACAGCTCCAGTGCTGCCCTTGGTTCAGACCCTCATCACTTTTGTTTTCTCTTGCGCAGACTGTAACTCACATCTTACCTTATGCTGCTACTTTCCTGCTCAAAATTCTGACTCACCCCTATGATTCAAGACCGAACACCATGGCTGCCTAATCTATCATGTGAAAAAAGTGTGTTAGCAGTTGGCAGATTAAGTCTTCTACCTGACCAAAGAAATTTTGCCTTTGGGTTTAGTGTGTTAAGATTTTCAAACTTGGCCGGCGCCGCAGCTCACTAGGCTAATCCTCCGCCTAGCGGCACCGGCACACGGGTTCTAGTCCCGGTCGGGGCGCCAGATTCTGTCCCGGTTGCCCCTTTTCCAGGCCAGCTCTCTGCTGTGGCCAGGGAGTGCAGTGGAGGATGGCCCAAGTGCTTGGGCCCTGCACCCCATGGGAGACCAGGAAAAGCACCTGGCTCCTGGCTCCTGCCATCGGATCAGCGCGGTGTGCCGGCCGCAGCGCGCCGGCCGCGGCGGCCATTGGAGGGTGAACCAATGGCAAAGGAAGACCTTTCTCTCTGTCTCTCTCTCTCACTATCCACTCTGCCTGTAAAAAAAAAAAAAAAAAAGATTTTCAAACTTACCGGGTTGGTGTTGTGGTGCAATAGGCTAAGCCTCTGCCTGCAGTGCAGGCGTCCCATATGGGCGCTGGTTCCTATCCTAGCTGCACCACTCCTTATCCAGCTCTCTGCTATGGCCTGAGAGCAGCAGAAGATGGCCCAAGTGCTTGGGCCCCTGCACCTGCAAGGGAGACCCGGAGGAAGCTCCTGGCTCCTGGTGTCAGATCGGCCCAGCTTAGGCGGTTGTGGTCATTTAGGGGAATGAACCAGCAGATGGAAGTCCTTTCTCTCTGTCTCTCCTTCTCTCTCTCTCTCTCTGTAACTACCTCTCAAAGAAATAAATCTTTTAAAAACTTTCTCATGAATTTAAAAAAAGATTTTTAAATTTAATGGGACACGGGGCTGTCTTGGATAGCACTGCTTTCCTTTTGTTTTATTTCTCTGCCCCTCTCTCCAGCTGTCTTCACTAGTATATTTTATGTGTATAATGGTCCCTGGAAAGACAGGTCCACAAAACAAAACAAGGGCATACAGGGAGAGGTGGAGGCTATCTGGGAAGGGGACCCTGTAGACAGCTCAGGTTTTCTTTTTCGTTTGCTTTTGCCTTTATGCTAAAATTTTTAATTCCGTGATCCGTCTTCATGCTTAACCCATAGGCGGATTTTCAGATAAAGCAAACGACCTCTTTGGAACCTGCTCCCCGACCCCGTACTTTGTCCACTCCACTTTCTACACTATCAGTGCACAACTTTGAAACTTGCAAGAATGTGAAAACTTGGAAGCCGCGCCCTCCTTTGTCCCCTCTTCACATACCACAGCTTTTATCTGATGGTGGAATAGGACCCCAGCCCCGCTCTCTCAGCCCGCCTGGCCTCGAGCGCCAGGGACGCCCCTTCCCCTCTCCTCGGGCTTCCAGGCGCCCTGTCACCTCCGCTTCCGCCTCCCTGCGCCCCGGGACACCCCGTCCGCTCTTCCAGAGTCTCCAGATTCCCCGTCTCCGCTCCCCACGGCCCGGGGTAGCCCCGTCCCCTCTCCTCCAGCTGCGGGACGCCCTGTGCTCTCTGCTCGGTCTCCCCGCCCTGGGACCCCAGCCCTCGTTCCGCGCACCCCCGGACACCGCCGCCAGGGTCAGCAGGGCAAGGCGCTCGCGGGGAGCGAGCTGCGCCCCCTGGCCCTCCGCGCTGCCTTACCCGCCGAGGACCGAGGCCACAGGGCAGCCAGGACTCCCCAGCAGAGACAACCAGGCGCAAGGAGACCATGTTTCCCTCAGACCTGAGGCCGGAAAGCCGCACGCTCAGGGGGCGGGCCAGAAAAAGCAAAGTTCCGGGAGCTGGGCAGGGACTAGAGACCCATGGTCTGGGGTCTTGCCCACACGGAGCTAACCTGGAGGGGGCCTGCCCGCACCCCTCAGCCCCTCAGCTCAGCTGCCTTGTTCCTTTTCCGGCTCTCCAGGGCCCAGGATGATTTGTGGGGCGGGGAATGGTGATTGGGCGCTCCTGTGTGGGTGCAGGGACTCCTGCGGCATCTAAGGGCCCGAGGACCTCAGAAACGCAGGACATCCACGCTGCCCACCAGGGCTGATATCTCTTTGAGTCTTTATTTCTTAAGTGCGTGTTGCAGTTCGTGTAGCGTTCAGTCACCCATTATCAGCATAATAATATCCTGGGTCAGAACCTCAGCCTCACTTTTCCTGAGGCGAAGCTTCTCAAAGCTCTGGGGCAGTCCCCTGGAGTCGCGGACTTGTCCAGGACACACTGCCCCCTGTCGCGGGGCTCCCGCTCCAGCGCTGGCCTTGCAAAGGAGGGAGCCATTCAGGCATTAAAAGCGAATGTTAGCCGTTGACACGCTGCGGAAGCTCAGATCACGTTTCCTACCTGACTTGTCAAATGTGAATGCTCAGCTCTAACTCAGGATTATTGTGAAGACAGAAGAAAATGTGTGTGAAGCCCAAGCTTGAGCTGATAGTAGTGACACCGAGAGTTTACAATGTGTCTGGTATTTTCCAGGTGCTGGCAAAGGGAGGAAAAAAAAAAAAAAAAGCACTCCCTGACATTCAGAACCTCGCCTGGAGCTCACAAGGGCCCCGTATTAATCTCCTGTCAGACATAAACTGTCTTAGAATACCTAACTCTGACAAGGTTACTCAGCCTCACAATAAGGTAAGACAAAACAAGTCAGCTTGATCAGTTTGTCTAAGCACAGAGAAAAACAAGCTCACAGTGTTGCACGTAAAATACTAAATGTTCCTGACTCTCAGCCAAAATGAGTTACTACCAATTCTTGACTAATTTCTTCTTCAACCACATGGTAGTGTCTCTTCACTATGGATACAATTTATTGAGATTCTGGATCCTAGAATTGCCTGCACTGATGTCCTAAACAGCACTCTGGCCTCAGAATCAGCCCTTAAGGCATTCGGATCTGGCTGAAAAGCCCATGAGAGTATTTCAGGCATGGAAAGCCAAGACACTCTGGAAAAAGAAAAAAAAAATCTAAATGAAAGAGCTCTGTGAGTGAGATCCCAGCAGAAAGAACGGGCCATCACAGAAGGAGATTCCTTTCTCTGAAGGGAGGAGAGAACTTCCACTTTGACCACGGCCTTGTCTAAATAAGATCGGAGTTGGTGAACTCAAGAGGCTTCCATAGCCTTGACAGCTCATGACAAGAGCCTCAGGTGATTACTGATGCCATAAATAAGAGTGTCAATTGTTAAATCAACAACAGGAGTCACTGTGCACTTACTCCCCATGTAAGATCTCTGTCCTTAATGTGTTGTACTATGTGAATTAATGGATAACTAGTACTCAAGCAGTACTTTACACTTTGTGTTTCTGTGGGTGGGTGCAAACTGTTGAAATCTTTACTTATTATATACTAAATTGATCTTCTGTATATAAAGAGAATTGAAAATGAATCTTGATGTGAATGGGATGGGAGAGGGAGTGGGAGATGGGATGGTTGCGGGTGGGAGGGAGGTTATCGGGGGAAAAACCACTGTAATCCAAAAGCTGTACTTTGGAAATTTATATTTATTAAATATAAGTTTAAAAAAAAGAATTGTATCCATCAAAAAAAGTATATACTAAGTTGATCTTCTGTATGTAAAGATAATTGAAAATGAATCTTGATGATTCATTTCATCTTGAATGGGATGGGAGAGGGAGTGGGAGATGGGATGGTGTGGGTGGGAGGGAAGTTATAGGGGGAAAAGCTGCTTTATTCCAAAAGTTGTACTTTGGAAATTTATATTTATTAAATAAAAGTTGAAAAAAATGCAAAAAAAAAATTGCCTGTACTTTCCGACAGCACCCAGTCTAGAGTGAGTGGTCTTCCTCAGACCCTCCCCCAAATCCTCTGATAAGTTATTTCTGACACCCTCCTCCTGTGAGACATACTAGGTTTTCAAGCCAGCAAGGAGGATTTCTCACTGCAAAAAAAGGTCCAGTCTGTCTTTTAAGGATAATCTTCTAACACAGTGAGACCTAAACCAGAATAATCCTCATTTCCTTTTGATTAACTAAACATTAACTGATTTGGGCACTTAATTATATCTGAACAATCCCTTCCCTTTTGCCACTTTCTGTTGACTAGAAGCAAGTCACAGTTTCCATGCAGGCTTAAGGATGGGGGACTACTCAATACCAGGGAGTTAGTGGGGAATCTTAGAATTCTGCCTGCCATAACCACAATGTTACACAGTGGAAGGGAAAGAGGTAGCAAAAGTTTTAGGTAGAGCTACAGTCTACCACCAAACCCCTAAACAGTGCCTTGAATGCAAATGTGAGATGCTCTCTGTTCAATCTCCTGACCTCCCTTCTTAGCAAAACGTGTCTTTGCCATGCCTTATGATAGAAAATCAACTGTTTGGTAGAAACAACTCACTGAATTGAGGGAGTGGTGCTGTTGGTCCTACATGGTTCTAATCACCAGACCCATGAGGTCATTTTCTTCTCCAGTAGATAGAATCTTGGTGCCATCCAAGTTTAGTGGTATGTGAAGCATCTTGATGGTCAGTATTGTCTCCAATCACTTCTTTGTGAGAATTCCAGTTATGGGGCAGAAAATAACTACCACCCGCATGTAGCCTCCAGACTGACAGAAGCCCAACTTTGCCATCTTAAAAAGTCTCTAAAGTGTGCAGAATCACGAACCACAAACATCACCAACCAACCAGGAACCCAGACACGATGCTGAAAACAAATATCTCATGCCAATGCCAACTCATAAGGGCCTTCCTACCTAGTTCTTTGGGGGAGCCTGGGAATTAAGTGATAGCCCAGCTCCTTGCCCTGCACTCTACAATAAATACCTCCTTTAACCACTCTGATGTCAGCGATTGGCTTTCTGTGTGTAGGCAAGTGAATCCAGTTTTGGGGGACTTATAGCAAAGTCCTCTAGACAGTTTTTGGGGTTGTTCCATATCACTGTCAGAATGGAATAGCTGAATAATTTGAGGGATCTTCAAAAAGTTCATGAACATGTATATTATGAAAAAGTTATGCATGGATTTCCAGGGTTTGCACACAAATAAACGTTTTAGTGCCATGTTCCTATAAGCTTTTTGCAGTATCCTCATCCATTTAGTCAGGTTGACCCCTGGCCACCCAGCTTGATTGTTAATTCTCAAGCTTAGTTCAGAAACTGACGAGTAAGACTTCAAGGAATAAGCACATAAGGAAAATACAACTACTCTAAGTGGAAATCAGAGTATATGAATCTAGAATGTAAAAATAAATCATAACAAATTATAAATTTCAAAAAATTCACAGTACTTCAAGTTGTACATGAAAAAAGGATGGTAACATGATTGCCCAAATGCCAAATAAACGTTGTTTATAATTTTCTCTTACATTTTTTGGCTGCATCATCTTTGGTCACACAAAACTGGTATGATATATTCATAATAGTAAATACTTTGTTGAATATTGCTGGCAAGGCAAGCCACTACTTTGGCTAAGCATCTGTTAAATCATATCCTCTGCTTATAGCTTTATGTAATTTGATACTATCTTCTTGCTCTGTACACTTCAAACAATTCAAACTTTACTTCTCTTCCAATCCATATGCTTCCAGAACTGGGCACCACAGGATGCATCCATATTTCAGTTCATCCTCAGGCCCTGCATATTTGAGGAGACTTCAAAATTTTGTGGAAAGTGGAATTAAAAGATGAATTCATTTTTGAAGCAAAAAAAGTTTAAAGTCCACACATAGTTTTATAATAAAACACACTTTCCATGGACTTTTTAAAGACCCCCTCATACCTATTGATAGGAACTCCAAGGGCCCCAGGAAAGGAAAGAAAAAAATATGATGTAACTCTCTAGGCCTCCTGAGGGAAGAGGAGATAGGAAATGGAGGAAATATATACCATGTAATCTTCAATGCTGAGTCTGCCTAATGGATCTGATTGAGCACTCTGCACACTTCCATGCAAACAGGATACTCCAATGCCAGTTCCCTGATTGGTTGATGTAACATGCATTTTCAGTTCCCTGATTGGTTGCTATTCTGGCCTCCTGACTGTTGAAGGTTATCCCTGCCTTCTGATTGGTTGTTACTCTGTCCCTCCTCTTGACTGTTTAAATCTGTACTCACTTTTCAGAAGGGGGCCAATAAGAGACAGTCATTTTGTGTATAAAAGACCTAGCACCGGCAAGCTTCTTTGGCAATTCCTCCCTTAGAGTCCCCGTCCTGACTGCTGTGGCAGGAGGTTTCTAGCTTTCAATAAATCTTTTCTCACTGTCCCTGTCTGCATGGAAATTCTTTGATGTAAAACAAGAACAGAGATCACATTCATAGTCCCAAAAACAGTATTACAGCATTGGCAGAAAGGATATTCCAGGAAGATGATCTTATAGCAGGACAACTAGTATTGATGTAACTCTACCAACACAAGTATTCTCAGTTAATCTTAGTTAAATCTGTCTCTAAACTAACTTCCTTTTAGCAGCAGCCAAAACTCCAAGATTATCTAATGTGAAAAGTTTGAAGAACAGAAATAGAAACGGAAGATGATATTCAATGTATCTTATTGTTAATATATCTTACCTTTCAAATTTTAATGAAAAATAGATGCCATGGAACCTCAGAAGGACCAGATAAGTAAAGGGGCTTGAAGTTCACCAGCTTTAGGTAAATCTACCCCCTGTTCTTGCAATTCATGTTCACAGAGTATAGCTCTTATTGTGATCACAATTTCACTTCTCTGCTGTGTGTTAGAAGTGGATGTTGAGGGGCTGGCATTATAGCATAGCAGGGAAGGCTGCCACCTGTGACATCAGCATCCCTTATGGGCACCGGTTCATATCTCAGCTGCTCCACTTCCAATCCAAGTTCCTGCTAATGCTCCTGGGAAAGCAGCTGAATATGGCCCAAGCCCTTGGGCCCCTACACCCATGTGGGAGACCTGTAAAGATGTGTGGGCTCCTGGCTTCAGCTTG